AAAACAATGTCTCCAAAACAGAGCTGAAATGATGCTTTTAGGGTCTCAAAAACAGCCCTAAAACACTGTTTTAAATGTCTCCAAACAAATCCTCAAAACATACATAAAGTGATGTTTTTAATTTGCAAAACAATGTCTCCAAAACAGAGCTGAAATGATGCTTTTAGGACTCAAAAAACAGTCCTAAAACACTGTTTTAAATGTCTCCAAACAAATCCTCAAAACATACATAAAGTGATGTTTTTAATTTGCAAAACAATGTATCTCCAAAACAGAACTGAAATGATGCTTTTAGGGTCTCAAAAGTGATGTTTTTAATTTGCCAAACAATCTCCAAAACAGAACTGAAATGATGCTTTTAGGGTCTCAAAAGTGATGTTTTTAATTTGCCAAACAATCTCCAAAACAGAACTGAAATGATGCTTTTAGGGTCTCAAAAGTGATGTTTTTAATTTGCCAAACAATCTCCAAAACAGAACTGAAATGATGCTTTTAGGGTCTCAAAAGTGATGTTTTTAATTTGCCAAACAATCTCCAAAACAGAACTGAAATGATGCTTTTAGGGTCTCAAAAGTGATGTTTTTAATTTGCCAAACAATCTCCAAAACAGAACTGAAATGATGCTTTTAGGGTCTCAAAAGTGATGTTTTTAATTTGCCAAACAATCTCCAAAACAGAACCTACACAAAGAATCCATAAAAAACAAGTTTATTTTGCCCGCATGTTAATCCTGGCTTAAGTTGGCTAGAAAAATTTAGTTGGATGATAAAACTTGCCAGTTTAACAAAAACTTCCACCCTCATTGCTTCCTCTTTCGCAGCCACCTCATTGATCCATGGAATCCATACTTCGTACTCAATAATGTTCCATCAAAATATGTCACTCAAGAAAGAAATATAGATATTCTATATAAACCATAAAGATATAGAAAGAATCAGATTTGTACATGGAAATCTAACTTAATAGGCAAGCATGAAGATACACTAGAAATGTTAAAGAAAATATACTAAAAAATGACGTTTCGGTGGCCTTACAAGCAACCAAGCAAGAATATCGAGCACTGAAACAAGAATATCGAGCGCTAAAGCAAAAATACCGAATAGTTGATCCAACGCGGCAACGCCTGCTTTATAGAAGACAAATAGAAGTAGAGATCAGAGAAAGAACACAAACATACAACCCTAAGCTTTCGTTGACGATTTTTTTTGCGATTTTGAGGCGAGGATTGAGGAAAGAACCGGACGAAGGGAGCGCCGAAAGCTTTTCGAGAGGGGAGCGCCGAAAGGATGAATCGCAAATAGTAGGGTTAGCCGATTAGGGTTGCTGCCTGTGTTTTTATATTTTAAGTTATGTACTTATATTAATATATATATATAATACTTTATATTAATTATAGAATTTATATATATAAAAATATTTATAATACTATTTACTAAATTATATATTATAATTTATAGGATTTAATATTTTAAAATTTGATAAATTTTTAATATATATAATATAACTATTTTTAAATTTCATAATATTATTTAAATTATTTATATTTCGAACAAAAACGAATCGAACACGAACGAACGGGTCATTGTTCGTGTTTGGTTCGTTTAGCAATCCGAACAAAAAAATTTGTTCGTGTTCGTCTCGTTTGCTTATCGAACGAACCGAACACGATCAGCTTCACGAATCGAACACGAACTGTTCGCGAACAACGAGCTTTTTTGACAGCCCTAAATGAGGAGATACCAAAGGATAAAGAAGCTGCTAGTATAAGAAAATTTAGATGTTAGATACAAGAATATATAAGAATTATTTGATGCGTATGTAATGCCCCAAAACTCATGTGATATGTTTTTAAATTTATTCCGATGTCAAAAATTTCTTCCCAAAATTTCCACGACTACAATCTATTCCTCTCCGCCAGCTGCATCCAGTCAATCACGAAAAATGGCTGTTTTCTCCTCCGGTTAGCCATCGATCTCTCCCCGATCGCCGTCGACGACGATGCGCCGTCGCCGTACGCAGACGTCGGCGATGGATGGAAGTATTCTGGACTCCCTTGGACAGGAGATCGTTGGCGTGATGTCGCCGGTTTCCATCTGCATGCTCCTCGTCGTCCTCCTCGTCTCTTGCCTCTCCCCGCCACCATCTTCAATCGATTCCTCTACCTCCACTCCAGTCACCGCCGCTACCCTAGTCTATCTCGAATCGCCCTCCGATCCCCCCGCTAAAAAACTCGCCGGTGCCCTCCTCAACGCAGCTGTCTTCGTAGTCCTTATCGCCGTCGTTACTTTCCTACTTGTAATCCTCTACTACTACAACTTCACCGGTTTCCTCAAAGCCTACATGCGCTTCTCCGCCTTCTTCGTTCTAGCCTCCATGGGCGGCTCGATCCTCCTCTCCTTACTCCGCCGTTTCTCCCTCCCCATCGATGCCCCTTCGGCGGTCCTCCTATTGCTCAACTTTTCCGTCATCGGCGTGCTTTCTGTCTTCTCGGCCGCAGTACCCATCGTTGTGCGCCAATCTTATATGGTCGCTCTCGCCATCATCGTCGCCGCTTGGTTCACCAAACTCCCTGAATGGACCACCTGGACTCTTCTCCTCGCTCTCGCTGCCTACGATCTCGCCGCCGTACTCTGTCCCCGTGGCCCGCTGCGCATCCTTGTCGATCTCGCGTCGTCTCGTGACGAGGAGCTTCCTGCCCTCGTCTACGAAGCCCGTCCGACGACCTCCAATCAATTACCGTCCTCCTCTCCCTTCCCCGCGGCTTCGGTAGAGCTACAACCCCAATATCCCATCAATTCTAACCCTAATGCTAACCCTAACTCAGAACCTCACCCAAATTCAAATTCAAATGACAATTCGTCAAGCTCCAATCAAGCGGATAACACCATTGTGGAAATTGAGAATCTTGAAGAGGAGACTTTCCCTTTGGTATCCGCTGAAACAGTCAGTGGTCAGCCAGGAAGCAGCCATGGTGATCAAAGCTCAGCAGCTGAGCAAGAAGACACTTTGGAAACTAGCAGGGGGATCAGGCTTGGTCTTGGGGACTTCGTCTTCTATAGTGTACTGGTTGGCAGGGCTGCCATGTATGACTTAATGACAGTCTATGCTTGCTACCTTGCAATAATATCAGGGCTTGGATGTACCTTGATACTTCTGTCTATATGCCGGCATGCGTTACCGGCACTGCCAATTTCCATAACCTTAGGAGTTCTATTCTATTTTTTGACCCGGTTAATGATGGAGCCTTTTGTTGTTGGGGCTTCTACGAGCTTAGTGATGTTCTGACTGACTGTTTGGTGTTCATCTTAGAAATCCTGAAGGATGGACGAAGGTGATGCTTTAAATTCTGAAACTTCGTATTTTCTCACTCTTTTTTTTTTTCAATTTGATATTTTGTGGAGATAATGATTGAATTCCTTATAGAATTAATAGAAGTTGCTGATCATTTTGAACTTGTGATTGATGTAGGACAGTTAAGCATATGTTTTTATAATACAACTAGAATGATACTATATATATATAGATCATACAAGAGAAAATATGATTCCCTAACCACAAACAATTTAATATGCCAAAGTTTCTGTTTTATTTTTTCTTTAAATGCAAACAGTAAATGCTAGAATTAAAACCAAATGATAATGTAATGATTGAATAAATCTTAATAAAGGGTGAACAATTCAATTCACGCAAAGTCATCATACAATTATAATTTAATTGCCATTGTTAGGTGGTGTTTGGCTGCATTCTGGATTTACGTTAAGTAGGATTTAGTAAATCCAGATTTATCAAATCCATAATTTGATGGAGAAACACATGTGAGCCTAATCTCTTAAATCCATTTGTAAATCAAATTTAGTAAATATGAATTTATGTCGAAAATTAGACGAAAAAACATTTGATTTATTGGAGCGCATGATTTAAATTTCACATTTTAAGTGTTTGGCTGGATTTACGTTAAATCCATGGCTAAATCCGGTTAAAAGTATGCTACCAAACACCCCCTTAGATTTGTAGTTGTCTAATTTGAATAAAATCAGCATCTCTAGCCGGTTAATAAAAAATATTAGAAGAAATTATGTCAAAGGAAAAAGCCATCAAAGTAGGAAATCTAATTCTTACACTAATACAAGAAGATAAGTTAATTCGGAATTAGGTCATTTCATTTCCACCGTGCTCAAAGAAACCACCACTTCAATTTGCACTTGCAAAATTGAAACTTGAAGAAATTTTATTTAGTCCAAAGTTATGTCACTGTATGCCTCATATAATCTATAAACTTTTCATTATATGTTAATGAAGATGGTTGCACAAGATCAACCCAATTTAATTACAGATAGTCATCAAGTTTAAATTTTAATCTTATCCATAATTTATAGTGTTAGTAATTAAATTAGTTCCATAAGCTATTTCACCTGTGAATAGGGAAAGCCTGCATGTAGGTACCAAGTTATGTATCTCTGAATATTAGTCGAATTCCCAATAAAAACCTTGTAGAAGTAGCAACACCTGATGGTAGCAACAAAGTTGCAACAAGAATAATTTGGAGGATTATACAGGCGTAATAGGTCAACATCAAGTCGGTGGTACGTTTAGGGTTTGGTAGCTTGGATAAGCAACTTTTTCTTGCTTACTCACAAGCTCTGTGTTTGTGGGCAGGAGACATATATTGGAGTATGTTTTGAGATGATTAGTAATCCTTTATAATTATCATCACTTAAAAAATGCTTCAATCCTTTAGTTCAGAATCTTTTTCATTCCAAGGAAAGAAGAAATCAAAAGGAGTTTTATATCTCCATTAGTTTGAAGTTTGAACAAAACTCACGCCTCAATATATCAAGGCGTACCTTCTGAAGTGCTAAGGTGCTCTACATGTGTTTCATATTTTTGTGACATAAGAGGGATCCTGTAGAGACTATGAATTTGATCTGTGCCCAGCTTTATATTACATGTAACCTTGTAAACAATTTGGTTTTAGGTTTTCATTTTTTATTTTGGCGCACCACATTCAAAAGACCATATCTCATATTTAGTTTCTAAATGAGGCCACAAAGTCTTATGTCAAAAACATAGAAGCACCTCATAGATTTGCACTTGTGAATGATAGAGAGCAACTCTCAATAGCATTTTAGCATCGAGCCTCCAAATTTTGCGCTGCCTTCAACTTTTTTACTTTGTTGCACCATCCAGCATGAAGCACACATTAAAGTTTCTCTTAAAAGTTAAAACTCTATGTCTCTTACATCTTCTTATTTCCTCTCTTCTTACAAACTGTTTTGACTGGGAACGTGTTTAAAATTGGCAGGCTTCCTTGCATTGGTTATTATTACTTTAGTTGGTCTAAGATTATATTTTAGTTGATTATGTGTTTCTTATTATCCGTATTTTTATGGTTTTTTCTCTTTTTTTTGAGGCTTATGTTTTGATATACTTTGAAACTTATGTCTCACCTCGGTTTATAAATTTTTTTGGGAATTTTAATTTGTTATTCGCGTGCTTGTTATTGATGCAATGCCATCAATTGACACTGCCATTCATGCAATAGATTAAAATGTGAAAGAAGAAGGTTAGGTCTTTAATATGACATGGGACACAAAAACAAAGAGCATTTTATTTTTTTTAAAATATAGTGCAGACTTGTATTTATGTTTTCAGTAATATTATTAGTTTTGTCCTAATTGTTTAAATGTTTCTTTATTAATAACCCAATTACATTTATTTTTTATTGAGTATTAAATGAGATATGAAGCATGATAGGTAGCAAGGTAATGAAAATAGATTATTTGTGGTATAATATCGATTGGCTCGGCCATCAATGAATTTTATTATTGATTGGCTCAGCCATCAATATTTGTTTTTTTCAAAATATAGTGCATACTTGTATTTATGTTTTCAGCAATATTATTATTCTTGTCCTAATTGTTTAAATGATTCTTTATTAATAACCCAATTTCATTTATTTTTTTATTGAGTATTAAAAGAAATATGAAACATGATAGGTAGCAACGTAATGAAAATAGATTATGGGTGGTATAATATTGATTGGCTCAGCCAACAATGAATTTTATCTTAAAAATGTTTGTCCATTATCTTGTTGAATAAGATGTGTTTTTTTTTCCTTTTAGCTGCTCCTTTTTCTTTTTTTTTACAGGTTCTACTTCATTGGATTAGGCAATGATTGAGCCATTTAGTTGAGATGAATATGACACAATAGTTTAAGATGAAGTCGATTAACTCATTTCGAATGTCGTGTTCTAACCATCTGATGCAAAGTTCTGGTCATCCTATTAAATTCAATTACGTTTACTGTTATGTCCTTATTTTGTATTAGTAATTTTTTAAAACTATGCTTGGTAAGTTTAGCTACTTTTGTGTTAGAAGACACATTTACCTGTGATTGTGGTGAAATAGACCCATTGTAACTTTGAAGAGTAGCCTTTTGATATTTTAGTAGTAATCTGGTTTTTTTTTTTCTTTTTTTTTCTTTACGCATTGAAGTTATTCCTCCTGCTTATGTTTATTTTTCTTGGTTTGTCGTTGCACCACCATGTTTGATGGCTAAATATAACATGAGATGTAAACATGAACACTTTTATTGAACTCAACAATTTTGTTAAAATTGAGATTGCTCATGTATTCATGTTGCCATTATCATCATTAGCCTTATCCCAACTGTTTGGGTGCTGCTATATATATATATTCTCTTTCTTCATGCATTGTTATTTAGTATTACATTAGGTAATATGCAGGGTTGTTGTCAAGGCAAGGCCTCGCATGCTCAAAGCACAAAAAGACTTGTAAATTGTCGTATTCTTAAGAGATTGAAATCTTATAAACTCAAGCTCAAAATATTTAATTAATCTCCATTTTAGTTTCATGACCGTGGTGCTACTTGAGTTATAAATGACGGATTTCACGTTGACCTTAAACCCTATTGCAATAAGCTTAAAACAAACTAAAATTAAACATGATTAAATCTCAACCAATAATATTATGATTTGATAGTAAAAGTAAGCATTCTGTGCACCTGAAGGTATTGCATTTTTCTTATGATTTCTTTTGCACAACTTTTACCACTTTAGCTTTGATCTTCTTTTATTTAACTCAGTTCTAACAGATTGATTTTTTCAGTTTTTCTAGTACATCTTTTATCTTCTATCCATTTCCTAACAACTCAAACTCATTATCACTCAAGAAAGCAGTTGACAAGCCGTGGTGTGTGATAACTCAAATATTTAATTTTTAAGTGCTAGATTCAACATTATTTAACTAGAATTTGTCTGATTCTAAATCATAATTTATTTAGGTTTGAAGTTTGAGACTTCATATGAGTGCATGCATTTGTTTCTCCTTATGAGGGACATACTCTCGATTAAAGAGGTAAGAGGTCCCTCCTAGCTCTGATTTTAAAAGGCTGTTAGTTATGTATCACTCGAGCTAGGAAAATGTTTTGGGAAGGCCTTGGGCAGCATAGGAAATTTAAATAATTCTAATAATGTTTTGGGAAGACCACAGCTTCCCAAAGTGCTGAATTTTGAGGTTTTATTGTTATAATTTGCACAGTGAGCCTTAGCTAGCATAGGAAATTTAAATAATATGGGACCCTAATCCTCTACGGACAACTTTGCAGTCTATGCTTGAGGCCTTAGCCTAGCTGAGGTAAGGTTTGTAATCTTAGCTCATTAGAAGTTTGGGTTTTGGGTAGAATTTTAGAGTTAAGTTTTCACTAACTTCGGGAATTCTGATAGGGAACCTTGGGTTTTGGTTGGCAAAGCAGGATCTTAGACTAATAAAAGAAGTGCAGAGCGACCAAACTGTGCCTAGGCATGTTTCCTACTTTAGTTCCAACCTTTGTGATGTTAATTGGGGAACTGATATTCTGACATTCCTTACCATGTTTGATGGCTAAATATGACATGAGATGTAAACATGAACACTTTTATTGAACTCAACAATTTTGTTAAAATTGAGATTGCTCATGTATTCATGTTGCCATTATCATCATTAGCCTTATCCCAACTGTTTGGGTGCTGCTATATATATATATTCTCTTTCTTCATGCATTGTTATTTAGTATTACATTAGGTAATATGCAGGGTTGTTGTCAAGGCAAGGCTTCGCATGCTCAAAGCACAAAAGACTCGTAAATTGTCGTATTCTTAAGATATTGAAATCTTATAAACTCAAGCTTAAAATATTTAATTAATCTCCATTTTAGTTTCATGACCGTGGTGCTATTTGAGTTCTAAATTACGGATGTCACGTTGACCTTAAACCCTATTGCGATAAGCTTAAAACATACTAAAATTAAACATGATTAAATCTCAACCAGTA